GGATCTGTTGAGTATAACTCAGACTTACGTGAGAACTACCGACCTTCCAATAGTAGCACTCATTACTGAATTGACTTGCGACAATCGGGCACATAACTATTACCTTATTTCTTATTGTACTGTTTTTACAATAAACCTTTACTTATTTTATCCACTGTGTTTTTCAAGTATATATTCCTATTAGCATGGAATATAACAATTTTCATAAACAGAATCTTAAAATGGTAATAGTAACATAAACCATTTCCTTACAAGGAAACATTCAGCATTCATTGATTGTATATCTTTTAATTGAAGTTTATAAAAATCTTTCTCTTAAAATAAGGCTTTACACCTCTTCTTCTATGCACAGTGTCTCTTCAGGAAGTGGGTGATCTCGGCTCTCCACAACTTCCTATCCTTTGTAGCTTTTAGTACAGTTTGTCTTTTTGCTAGATCTGATGAAGATATGTAAGAACATGACTCAAATTCCTAAGTTAATATTTTGAATTTGTAGCATCTTGCAGTGTTAGACAAAAGTACTTCAACATCATCTGTGTAGTAAATGTTGGTAATGTTATATCTATTGATAATCCTTTTAAGTCTTCTCATCCTCTTTGAATCATCTCACAGGTCAAATAAATCTGATGAAGAAACATATCCCTCTTGTATTCTGCCTAACTTATTCTTTGGACATATACACACTGTTTGTTCTTTATAAAGGTTCGGAATTATTCGGACATTTTTTCCATGCAGATCAAGCTCTCCAAACACTTTTTTCTGTTATACAATCATCAAATGCCTTTGTGATATATAAAATATATAAATCTACATGTCCTTCTATTGTACACACAGCTCATGAAAATTGTATTTATTGTTCCAGTGTTTCGAATGCGGACACACTGTTCTTGCCCTATTTCTGGTATTATTCTGCTATAAAATATATTCAGTAAAATCCTAATTATTCATTTTATTATGTATCTCATCAAGCTGATTATTCAATGGTTTTCACTTTTGTTTGCATCTGTTATTTTTTTGGCAGTTCTATAACAATTGTGGAGCAGTGGATAGCCTTTTGGATTGAGGAATTAGAAAGTTGATTTCAAATTCCAGTCGAATCCATTACACTCACTTACATGCTAATACCCTTGCGAAAGGGTATGAATCCTCCTTCCCTATGGGTAAATAGTAGGGCAGACTTGGTTCTCTAGTCTTGAATGGTAACTGGTGTACCACAGAAAGAAATGGCAACCTACTGTGGGAAAAAATCTGCCTTGTCAGTCATGTATAAAAAGATACATGATCGCCTAAGCATGTATCACGCATGGCACATAACTGACTGATGACAATTGGTTATTTAACATCCTCTGTTATTTCCTTGATCCTATACATTTAGTTTATTACTTGTTGATTTCCCTAACAGCGGGGAATGCTTGCAGAAGTTTTCCACCTCCTCCTCTTATAGTCAGAAGGACACAAAATGCATGCTGGGATATTTTTCTTAGCCAATAAAATGGGACGGTTTGCGTTTTGACATGACTCAGTCCAGATCTGCCTTAACTACTAGACATACCTATTACGTCTGATTGTCCGACCTTGCTTTTGTGTATTAACACTAACTCATAGTTTGTGAATTCTTTTACTTTCTTACCTGTTTGATTTGCCTTAAGTATATTATTTGCTTGTTTGCATGATTGTTGCAGATTCATTGTTTTTTGTTCCCTTTTTTTTCTTTTCATTGCAAACTTTATTAATTCTGTTTGTGTTATATAACTTGCATTTTGATAATGGCTTCTAGCTTATCATTACTTTGTTAATAAATAGTGGAGATTAGAACACATAATGAGGATAAGGGCTTGGAAAATTTGACACTCACAGTAAACTTTGAAGGCAAGAGGAATAGAGGAAAGCAATGAATAACCTACCTAACAAGCTGATGTAAATGGTTGGCAAAAGAAAAATTAAGAGGGATAGTAAAAAGACAAACCTTACTAAGAGATACAAAGGTTAGGAAGTTGTGGAGAGCGATGATCAGTCACTTCTTAAAGAGTCATGTCACAGATAAGAAGAGGGTTATTAATTCCTAAATCATATAACACTGTCAGTATCTTTATTACAATCTAGACTGACCTGTTGCCTTGTTCCATTTCATCTTGGACAGTGCTGACCTAACCTCAGCTTTTAATATCAAGGATGCTTTGATATTTTTATATATTGTGTTTTTTTTTTCTTCTTATCATGGAAGAGCTCTCCCATCTACTCAGTTGACCACTATAGAACCTTTGCTTTTTCCATTATCATTGTTCATTCTTTAGATTTTATTCGTCCTGCTGAAAAGCACGTTTTCTCTCCTGCTAGTTTTTTGATCTTTTGGTACAGACCTGCCACATTTATGTTCTGTGTTTTTTTCCCCAATATCTGTTCATTATCCATTAAGCCATTCCTCTTATGCCTGCATGAACTTCTGATATTTTTTGTAACCACACATACTATACTTTTTCTCCTATCTCTTTTTCATGAAGCTGAGAAATTCATTTATCATCCACCATTTTTCCTCTTGTCGTTCTTTCCTTGAGATAACTTCTTTTACTGTTTTCACTAGTTCTGTACTGAAGTTGTTAAACTTTGAGGCTCTGACCAATTCCAAACTTTCATATTTTTTCTCAATCTGTGACTTCATATGTTTATTAGAAAATGGAATCCTTGTGGGCTTTATCATGTTGCAGTTAAGCCATTGATTTGAGTTTCTTTAATTTTTGTAGTTTTATCTTTAGTTTGCATTTAACTAGAAGATAATCCCTTTGGTAGTCAATACTAATAAATGTTTTTGTATGCAGAACTACCTTTCCAAATTGTCTGCTGATGGTTAATCTCTCTGGTTTTTATGTCTCCTGCTAATCTTTTAGGATGTTCTTTAAACAAAACTTTGGGGAACTGCTTGGCTATTCAGTGTGTATCAATGAACTTATTTTTCTTTGCCCTTGTAGCATGATCAAATTGCACATTTAGCAATCATTTCACAATCTTGTTTCCTTTTTAGTTTTACATTTCATTGCTCCATGTTAAAGACAATTTCTTGTAATTTGCTCTAAGAATCATCATTTTTTCAGTATGTCATAAGAAAACTTATTTTGGGGTAATATACTGAAATCAATGTGTGTGTATATATATATATATATATATATATATATATGAAGAAAAAATACGGAAAAAACAAACAAAAATCCTAATATGCAATTATGCTGTTTTAATGTTAATATAATATAATTGCATATTAGGATTTTGTTTTTCCATATATTTTTCTTCATACTGTCAGAATCTATACCCATATATTTGCTTATATATATATATATATATATATATATATATATATATATATATATATATATATCTCATCATCATTATTATTTATTTATTAAACAGTATATCAATTTAATATTTTTTGTCTACGGCCTGAATATTTAAGAAATCTTATTAGAGAAAAATATATGCTCTCTGGCAGGATTTGAACATGTGTTGTTCTGGGAGAAACCATCATTAGATCTGATATGCTTTAGACCTCTTGGTAGGTTCAAATCCTGATGGAAAGCACATATTTATCTCTAATAAGATTTCTTTAAAAATTTAAAGTACATTTTTATAGTAAAAATACCAGCAATACATTTTTACATTAATAAAAAAAAAGACGAACAATACATATTCATAATAAAATGGCCCACAATACATTTTATCTGTAGTTGAATGAATACAACTGCATTAAAAAATATATTTAATTGAATCCATAAAACTGTGTTCAAAGTATTTAGATTTCAGCATTAAATAACCCATAGAGGTATTGATATGCCAGTAAACAAAATCAAACAACCAAGTGACAAGCACTTAAATTTTGTAAAGAAACATCAAAAACTATCATCTCCCTATCGATAGAAAAATTTTTTAAGGATTTGCAAGATTTATTACAAACTAATGTCATTTAACTTTCAGTAGTAATTTTTATGGACAGAAATTTGGATTATTGATGGGATCACCTCTTAGCTGTGTATTAGTTTGTCTTTTCTTAGAATTTCTGTAGAGCAGTCCTTTCCAAAAATATCTCCTCTAAAGAATGAACATATTCCCAAAATATCACTGATGCTTTATTAATATATCCCTGCCAAACAATTTTACCTGATCTTGTAAATCAGCTAAACAACAATGAACATTTATATCATACTTATTATAAAACCCAGGTTGTGTGTGTATGTGTGTGTGTCTGTACATTTATATATTGGATCAGATTTCCTACATTTTTCAACCGATTTCAACAAAACTTCACAGGACTACATAAAATTACCTTGTGGTGGTTCTGAAAGTGCCAAAATTGGAAAACACAATTGTTTTTGCACAAAATCAATTTGAAAACACGATTAAGAGGCATCGCTGTTGCGAGAATGGAAGGGGGACAACTCATATCGAGTTATACTTATTATAAAACCCAGGTTGTTTGTTTGTGTGTGTGTTCATTTATATATGGGATCGGATTTCCTACATTTTTCAACCGATTTTAACAAGACTTCACTTATTTTTTTTGGCAGCTAGTGTTTCTTATTGTCTTGCACACTTTTTTCTTTATTTTTACATTCAGAATGCTTTAAAAATTCCATTTACAAGACAATTGTTTATAATAAAATTCTATTCAATTGGTAGACAATGTTTTTGTTTGAGTTTGACCAATTCGTAACCCCCCCCCCAAAAAAAACAAAAAACGAAACAAAAAATACTAATTAAGACATGCGTGTCCATCAACCTTAAACAATAATCTTTGTCAATTTTATTTTTCAGTCTTTATGATGGTCGATACTTGATCTATATCTTACTGTTAGATCACCGGACAATGCCGGGCTCTACTGCTAGTAAATATATATATAAATATTGTATACCTGTGGATGTACAGAGCTGAGGGGAAAAAGAGATGATAGAATTAACTGGACTTAAGTGAATAGAGAGATAGAGAAAAAGCAATATAAGGATCCATTACTTACCTTCAACTACCAAATTGATAAGTTGTGATACGGAACCAACACTATTGGCAAATGTGCCCATGTAAACACCAGCATCAATGCGGTGCACATTGCGGATGATTACTTTGTAACCTTCTATACGAATCCGAGATGAACTGTGCAGTGGCTTGCCATCTTTGTTCCACGTGAGAGAGGGTTCAGGTGAACCTGATGCATTGCAGAACAATTCTATTGTTTCTCCTTGCCTGTGGTGCAGTGATTTGGGGGAGCAAGCCACAATACGTGGAGGAACTGGAAAAAGAAAAACAGAAAGCAATGGTTAAAAATTACTATCTAAAAGCAACAGTAAAAAAAAAAGAAAATTCAGTAAGACAATTTATGTTTCAACCTACTTTGTGTCATATCTCACAGATGCTGAAACTTTTAAATGCAAGTAAAAGAGTACTGAACTGCTATGTAATATTGAATCTCCTATGTGACCATGACAGCTGAACAATCTCTACTTGCATTTCAGAAACTAAGTAAAGTATTAAGAGTTAGGTAAATGTTGTTAGAAACAAAAAAAAAAGAGTGCTGAACTGCTATGTAATATCTAATCACTTAAATAGCAGCAAATGCTGGACAAATAACTTCTTGCATTTCAGAAGCTAAGTATTAAGAGATAGGAAAATGTTGTTAGAAACAAAGAAAAGAATGCTGAACTTCTATGTAATATTGAATCTATTATATAACAGGAAAAGCTGAATAATTTTGACTTGTATTTCAAGAACTAAGGAAACTATTAAGAGATAGGTAAATGTTGTTAGAAAGAAAGCTAGATGAAGACTCCATTGCCACAAATGTCTTACCATTATGTGGGAGGTATTTCTGCCTATATATATATATATATATATATATATATTTAGAGAGAGAGAGAGAATGAGAGAGAGAGACGTATATAGATAGATAAATATTTACTTGTGTCAGTAGTAAAAAATTTTATTATAGCAATAAAGAACAGTATTTACATTAGTCGGACTATTGTCCTCATCTTTGTCGCCATATTTGTCACAACGTTTCTGGATTTATGCGCTCGACCTTCTTCAGGTGGTTGGAATTTCGAACCCGAACCCTTTATTTCGATCGCTGGGGTCCACTGTGCCATAATTCCTGACATGCCATTTTTGATGGATGTCAGTGGATAAAGTTATCTCCAGGAAGACCCAAAGAAGGTGAGTTCTCCCTGGTTAAGGAATTGAAGACCTTCTTTGGGAAAATTAGCTGGAGATAACTGATAACTGACATCCATCAAAGATGGCACGGAATTAGAACAGTCTACCCCAGCAATCGAAATAAGGGTTCTGGTTGGAAAAATTCCAACCACCTGAAGAAGGTCGAGCGCATAAACGGCCGAAACGTTGTGACAAATATGGCATAAAGATGAGGACAATAGTCCGACTAATGTAAATACTGTACATAATACCTCATCTCAGAAATATAGACAAGCAATAAAGAAGATCATAATTAAAAAGCCAAATACAGAAAAATCACAACTACCATTGGGCTGATATGAAAAAATAGAAACACTTCATGTCAAGAGAGAAAAAAAAGCAAAGGGAAGAAAAAAATTGAAATGATCTAATCAGTTTTACACCTCATTCATGAAGGTAAATCAATTCATCAAGGTAAATCAATTAAATTCCTGTGCACACCAGAACAGAGAAATAAAAAGAAAATACACCCATCTCTAAAATATGCTGAGATGAGTATACATTTTCATAAGCAGATCACATTAAGTCCACACAACTATTTATATAGGGATGATTGTTTCATTTTAATAAAGGTTGTTTCAACAACTTTCACATAGAAAGTAGAATTTGATATGCACAAGAGTGAAAACATGTCCAAGTTAATTATATCCATCTTTATTACTATAATTTAATATTTTCTTTTATAGAATTGATATGTATTTAAATCACCAACATCAGGAAAAAACTATAAGTTGAATATTTAAACACAGTATATTTAGACAGCAATCTTTTATTTAAAGATGTTCTATTAGAAAGAACACAAGAGTGTCTGTTAAACCCTTGGGTGATTTTCTTCTTGAGTCAAATAAGTCATTTAAGGTGGCAACTTGCAAAAGAACTTGCTGAAATTATGTACTTTCAAATATTGTTGGTTGTCTTTATGGAAAGAAAGTATGAAGTCAAGGGATAGTCAGTATAGAGTTTGTCTTGTTAACTACTGTATGACATTTTCCCTTCTATAGTTAAAAATATTAAACAAACCAAAAGCATTATTGTATTATCCAGCTTTCTGTGAGATTACAAGATGAATAAAATTCAGTTGAAATCTGAAAATATAAATACCTACATTTCTAATACATCAAAGACATATTCAACTTGCAAGAAGGGTCTCCAATGGCTTTCTTGTCTCAGAAACCAGTAAGTTAGAAAGCCACTGGTAATTTTCTAAGATGTTGGCATCTCTTTCAAAGGAGGCAGATATTAAAAGTAAAGAAAATAAACTAAAATTGTAAATATCTACAACAAAAAGAAAGTGCATTATATATTGATGCGAAAAATTCTAAAGATAGAAAGAGATTCAAGATTATATGTCATGTATACATGTAGGTATTCATGTGAGTTGATAGATGGGGATAATGCAACTTCAGTTCAAGATGGAAGAATGCACCAATCAACCGTCATGATAAAAACAACAGAGATTAGGATTTAGTTTGGAAGAATTATTGAAGAATGATCTAAACTCATGAACATGGAAAACAAAAAGGAAATATATATATATATGCATGCAGTATGTATATTTCTAAGGAATCAATGAATTTCTTATCTGACACTATTTCCTACTACTTCAAACATTATTTTGTGGACACCCATGTTTGAGTAGATGCAATGTTTTTATAGACAGTGTAAATTAGATACACAGACTGGCAGACATAATTCACAGTGTTTATAAAAACAGGGTGTCTACTTAAATATGAGTTTCCACAAAAAACATTATAACATTTGCAGCAGTTGGAAATGTGTGTAAATATATATATATATATATATATAGATGCTCATTTACATGATTGTTTTGCGTGTATCTATCTATATATAGATATAGATAGATACACACAAAACAATCATGTAAATGAGCATCTATATTTATATATACACCCATCCGCGCACACACACAATATATATATATATATATATATATATATATATATATATATATATATATATATATATATATATTCATGAATTATTCACACAAAAACAAAAGCAAAGGTTAATGATTTAATTGGCGAGAAATCCATCATCGCAAACAATTCAAATAATATACAAAAACCTCCGAATCCGTTATGAAAAACTTGGTAATCTGTATGGATAATCCCAAGGATGATTGAGAGAGATATTAAATTTAATTAAGTATGGTTAAGAGAGATATTAAACTCTACCATGTCTCTCTAAACACTCTTTATTACACTCTCTGTTGAATTACAAAAACTTACACTACCCATCAATTTTTGTTTCATTTTTAGGAAGTGCTATCTGATGATCTGGCATCCTTGAAAAGGGCTCTGGTGAAATAAATTATTATAATGGAACCTTAAAGTGGTCTGTTTTTTTTTAAAATTAATATATATATATATATATATAATTTTATCATATAGATAAAAACAGTTTGCTCACTACTTGAAATGCACCGAAACAAAATTGCATCTTTGTAGTGAGTAAACTGTTTTTGTCTATATGATAAAATTATAATAAATAATTATTGCTTTACTATCGGTATCAAGCCCTCTTTTGAATTAATGCTGTGAACGTTAGAATTTATATATTACTTTTATTCTCATTGCATTATATATATATATATATATATATATATATAGCTGATATTCCCTGACAAGTGGACTGCATGGTTACTGGTGAGTCCATCTATGAACCTCTAAGTGACAAATTATATATATATATCTGTGTGTGTGTGTGTGTGTGCACACAGAGAAATTAATACTGAATGGTAGCTGGCAGTTACACACCTTATACAGTGTATGATGATTATTTAAAGCATGAAACTGACAGTCATTATACAATGTCGATTTCTATGTGTACACTCTTTATGTTTTGTCCCTCACACTGAGCACTATTCTCAGAAAAATACCATAAATTTAAAATATAGTGTAGATATAAAAATCAATCCTGCATGGTGACTATCAGTTTCACACTTAAATGTGATCACCAGACCATATCTCTTAATGCTCTGTCTCTGATAATGAGCACTCTTTCCAAAAATGTACTCAAGTTTCGACTTCGTTATCAGTTTGAATATTTATAAACATGCATTTGATTTCATTTAATATTCAATTTAATCCATTAAACTTCTTTCTAACTCAATAAAAATTAATATTTATTAATTTTAACCATTAATCAAGTCAACAAACACTGCATTTATTGTCATTTAAAGAGTGAGTACATTTTTGGGGACAGCCTATATAAGTGTGTGTGTGTGTGTGTGTGTGTGTGTGTTTTAACCATTTCAACCCAACCAAGGTGATAATGTCACTAAGTAGCAAAGGGGCAACTGAGATTGAAAGGAAATGAAATGACTTTAGTAGATGCACGGTGGAGAGCCGAGTTCAGATTCCAGTCGAATCCATTGCATTCACTTACGTGCTAATACCTTTAGGAAAGATATGAATCCTCCTCTTCTCCCCCCACCTATGGGTAAATAGCAGGACAGACTATGTTCTGTAGCCTTGGATGGCAACTGGTCTACTGTTGAAAGAAATTACAACCTACTGCGGGAAAAAATCTGCCTCGTCTGTCATGTATCAAAAGATACATGATCGCCTAAATGTGTATCATGCATGGCACATAACTGATAGAGGAGAAACTGTAAATCATTTCTAAACAGGAAACAAGGGCTAAACCTTTACTCCTGTTCAAAAGAGAGGGAAGGAGTATGAACTGGGTTATAGGCCTACCTACTCCTACTGGAAATATATATATATTAATCACTTATGTTCAAATCAT